TCTCAGTGATGCCGCAGAGTTCCTTTGACTTTGGGATCTGCAAAGGGGAACCTGTCAGTAGAGGAACGAAAGAGAAGGAACTGGGATAATCAAAAAAGAAGGAGAGAAAAAATTAACAGCCAGCCTGAGTTGAAGAAAGAGTTTCTCATAAAGGAAAGGGAAAGATGGAGAAATAGAGTGAAAGAGGGAAAAATAAAGAACATCAGTGATCTGAAAGAAAGAGAAAAAAGGCAAAAGAGAAGGTTTTGGAAGCAAGCACAGAGAGACAAAAGGAGAGAAAGTCCAGCAGGGGCTAAACACACAACCACAGAGAACTTTAGGAATCAAGGAGTAGTAGGCAGCTACTTGCTGGTGAACTATTAAGATGTAGAACTTAACATGTGCAAAAACAGAATTGTTATGATGTGTCTTGTGATATTACAAAGGTTGTTCAGGCTTAATGGTCATTTTGAAAGAAATAATATCTTGTTTTCTATTAGTGTGTCACCACCGTCAGATTTGTGTCACCACCGTCAGCACCTTGTCAACTCCATAATATGGAGTTTTTGTTTATTTTTCTCTTTTGGAGAACCATATATTTTCCTCCCTCATGATCTTCCAATAAAAATATGTAATTTTCTCAATAAATGTGTCATTTGCATGCTGCTTAATATGATTGTTTCTTATAGAGATTAAATACAAGCTTCTGAAAATATGTATGACTGTAACTCTAATAATAAAAAGCCAAAACAATCTTACTTTTAAACATGATATAATTCGTTTGAATACATATGTGCATAAACAATAGAATAGAGAAGCTGCTAATAGTCAAAATAGCTGAAACAACTTAATTTAAAATATATATTTTTGCATTTCTTTGTGTCTGATGGTGTTGACACAAACCTTGCACTTCTCCAGCAAAAACATAAATTATTAAAAAATGTTACACCTGGGAGATTGTACCAAAACATGGTGAGACAGCCAAAACTTTGTGTAACAATTATATGTAGATATGTTTTTGAAAACTCAAAAAATAGATGTTAGAAAATTAAAACCTGTTTTGTCCCTAATCTCAGGAATCACTGGTTGAAAATACTATTTAACGTGCAGCCTTAGATGCACTCTTAAAAAAAAATTATATTCCCTACTCTAACATTTACACATACTTCCATCTGCGTCGGCTTATCCTTTCCAGGGTCGCAGGGGAGCTGGAGACTATCCCAGCTGTCATAGGGCGAGAGGGCATAGGGCAGCTGCACACCCTGGAAAGGTCTCCAGTCTGTCGCAGGGCTAATACATAGAGACACAGACAACCATTCGCACTCACATTCACACCTATGGGCAATTTAGATTAATCAATTAACCTATCCCCACTAACTGCATGTCTTTGGACTGTGGGAGGAAGCCGGAGCACCAGAGTGCCCGGAGGGAACCCATGCAAACACTGGGAGAACATGCAAACTCCACACAGAAAGACCCCAGGCTGATGGTGGAACTGAACTCAGGACCTTCTTGCTGTGCAGCAGCAGTGCTAACTACCATGCCAGCGTGCTGCCTGTATTTACACATACTTAAAGGACAAAATGCAGCAGCGAACTCAGTGGACACACAGCAGCAGGTCTCTCTTCATCCTTGTTTTGCACAAGTAAAAAACAAAAATTGATGGTATAATTGATAAAAGGCAGTCTCGATTAATATTTTCCTCATTCAAAGTAATCAAAAAAAAACTTAGGGGCCCTTTAGCCCTAAGAACTAATACTTAGGGATGTTGCAATTAGGATGATTTGAAGTTCTGTCTCCACATGCTAATTTAACTGAAATCAGCCATGTTCTTGCCAACCAAATTACGCTTCGTCTTGTAAATAAATATTATTTCATTAATGCTAGTTCAAATGTGTTTATGAGTTAATAAAATATGAAATTGTCAAATCACAATTGTTTTTCTTATTTTTTAAGTTAATAAAAAATAAGAAAAAGTTAGATGATATAAGCTGTAAAATCAGCAAACAAAACTCTCAAAAGTGGCCCCAGCTGTAGTAGGTCTCAACCTCCCGTTAGCTTCGAGATGGTGGGTGTCAGATCTCCGAAAACGTCGGAGCACTTTTGCAAATATGTGATGTCTTGTAAACCGAGCAGATATCTGACGTTTACACAACTACATTCACGCCTCAAAATAGCTTAAAAGTGTATTTTGTGACCCAGAAAGAGTAATATTACAACTAAGTAGCTGCCGCCATTGTTGGAATGCAACTTTTGCAAGATATCGCAAAAGTCCGTCTTAATTTTTTTTTCTCCCATGTCCCCTGCGGGGCTCCGTAGTATCGGCGGCTCACCCACATGTTGCAAAAAGGGCAGTGGGCTCGGTACTGAAGCACTCATCCTCGTCGCCAATTTGTTAAGTTTGTAATTAGGTCTTTAGGCGACGTCTGGGTTCAGCACTTTATTTCAGGCTTTACAGCGGCACTCCATCTTTTCTCTCACCTGCTTTCTTCTTCTCCCTTCTCTCTTACCAGCCTCATTAGCGGCACCCCTGGTCTGACAGGGTAACATCGTGTAATAATTTGCCTCCTTTGTTATAGAACCTTGTCATGCAACACAGAGCACCTGTATAAAAAAGCCCAAAGCCGACTGTACTTCCTCAGGAGGCTGAGGTCTTTTAACATCTGCAGGAAGCTCCTGAGGATGTTTTACCAGTCGGTGGTTGCTGGAGTACTTTTCTATGCTCTGGTGTGCTGGGAGAGCAGGACAGCAAAGAAGGACTCATCCAGGCTGGAAAAACTGATCAGGAAGGCTGGCTCTGTGGTCGACATGAAGCTGGACACTTTGGTGACAGTTGCAGAGAAAAGGACACTAAAGAAATTGCTAGACAAGAAATGCCACCCCACACCATTACTGACCCACTGCCAAACTGGTCATGCTGGAGGATGTCGCAGGCAGCAGAACGTTCTCCACGGCGTCTCCAGACTCTGTCACTTCTGTCACATGTGCTCAGTGTGAACCTGCTTTCATCTGTGAAGAGCACAGGGTTGTTGCCCTCCTACGACTTCCTCCACATCTCCTGATGCACTGGCCTGTCTCCTGCTAGCGCCTCCATGCTCTGGACACTACACTGACAGACACAGCAAACCTTGCCACAGCTCACATTGATGTGCCATCCTGGATGAGCTGCGCTACCTGAGCCATTTGTGTGGGTTGTAGACTCCATCTCATGCTACCACTAGAGTGAAATCACCGCCAGCATTTAAAGGTGACCAAAACATCAGGCAGAAAGCATCGGTACAGAGAGTGGTCTGTGGTCACTACCTGCAGAACCACTCCTTTATTGAGGAAGTCTTGATACTTGCCTATAATTTCCACCTTTTTTCTATTCCATTTGCACAACAGCATGTGAAGTTGATTGTCAGTGTTGCTTCCTAAGTGGACAGTTTGATTTCACAGAAGTGATTGACTTGGAATTCTATTGTGTTGTTTAGTTGTCCCCTTTATTTTTTGAGCAGTGTATATATTTCCACTAAATTAGATTTTTTATTTTTTTATTATTATTATTTTTTTGTGGTATTGAGAAACCTCTATGACAACAGCTCAGCAGATCAGATGGATCCTGAATCTCACTCAAATTCACTCAAATTCACTTTACATTAAATATGAACTTTCTGCAATTTCTGATATTATTTGTGTGTATTTGCATTAAAGTTAACCTATTTGAGACACAGGTTTTAATAAAGAAAATTACTGGTCGAATAATGTTCAGATAGTGCCTAATCGTTGTCGTAATCAATGGGGCTTTACATAAATTTTGTCAAATTTGGTGTACGTGTTGGGTCTTGCATCTCTCAACTTTCTCTTCACAATATCCCACAGATTCTCTATGGGGTTCAGGTCAGGAGAGTTGGCAGGCCAATTGAGCACAGTAATACCATGGTCAGTAAACCATTTACCAGTGGTTTTGGTACTGTGAGCAGGTGCCAGGTCGTGCTGAAAAATGAAATCTTCATCTCCGTAAAGCTTTTCAGCAGATGGAAGCATGAAATGCTCCAAAATCTCATGATAGCTAGTTGCATTGACCCTGCCCTTGATTAAACACAGTGGACCAACACCAGCAGCTGACATGGCACCCCAGACCATCACTGACTGTGGGTACTTGAAACTGGACTTCAGGCATTTTGGCATTTCCCTCTCCCCAGTCTTCCTCCAGACTCTGGCACCTTGATTTCCGAATGACATACAAAAGTTGCTTTCATCCGAAAAAAGTACTTTGGACCACTGAGCAACAGTCCAGTGCTGCTTCTCTGTAGCCCAGGTCAGAAGCTTCTGCCGCTGTTTCTGGTTCAAAAGTGGCTTGACCTGGGGAATGCGGCACCTGTAGCCCATTTCCGGCACACGCCTGTACAAGGTGGCTCTGGATGTTTCTACTCCAGACTCAGTCCACTGCTTCCGCAGGTCCCCCAAGGTCTGGAATCAGTCCTTCTCCACAATCTTCCTCAGGGTCCGGTCACCTCTTCTTGTTGTGCAGCGTTTTCTTAAAACAATGAAAGGCTTGAACTACTTCAGTTGTGTGTAATGAATCTAAAATATATGAAAGTCTAATGTTTATCAGTACCTTGCAGAAAATAATGAACTTTATCACAATATGCTAATTTTTTTGAGAAGGACCTGTATATGAAACACTCATGAGGTAGCTACTCTGATATGAACTGTTTGACAGTTTAGCAGCAGTAATGGCAAAGGATCACATACACTTATTATTCATTTTATTGTTAAGTTACTGTGTTGTGTTGTGTTGTACATAGTGCCAATGTGGGACAGTTTTCCCATTTTATTGTAGTATTGTACTATGTATGAGTGTGCAATGACAATAAAGAGTTATCATATCTTATCTGTCTCCTGTTTACAACTCAAAAACATGAAGTACCACAAAAGCTGCATTAATATAAGAGGTTTAAATCTCTTAGTGCTATGTACTCTCTGTCACCATCTATGGAAGTAATTCTATGGAATTAATGAACCCGTGGAAACGAAACTTGACTTAAGTGAGGATAAGCTGTTTATTCAAAAACTGGTGAGCAATACAAAGCAAAAGGCAAGAGGAAACTAAGGCTAAACTAACTGGACTAAACACTGGAATATCATGACATGACAACATGAACCCTGGATATGAACCACTTAAACACGATTACCTGAACATGACACATAAATAACATAACCTGACAATGAACAAAGGAAAACTCACGGACTTAAAACACAGAGGGGTGACGAGGGAAGTAGAAACACATGGGAACAAAGCTGGGACGAACAGACATAACGAACCAGGGGAAACAAAACTAAACACAATGAACACAAAACGAGAGACTGTCAAAATAAAACACACAGCAAGAAACAGGCAGGAACATTAGAAGAGGATTGACTGGGGAGACAGAGGAAGGAAACACAAAGAGGGAAGGGAGACAAGTCATGGAGGGAAAGAGCGAGAGCTGGAGAAAGAAGGAGAGATGCAAAACGGGCTGTGAAGAACATACATAAATACACACGAGAGACAGGGGTAACATGGAAACACAAGGGAGGCAACATTAAATAGAAAAGGGAAACAAGACGCAAGGACACACACACCCACAGACCGAGAGAAAGCGAGGGACACAGGACAACGACACAAAGGAAACCTCAAAAACAAGAAATTAAACTGAGATCACAGGAAAACTTTGCAGCAATAACAAGAATAAATTCAGGACTGACTAGTGAAACTTAAATCATAATAGCACAGAAATATTCAAACAAAATAAACTCAGTCCAAGACCCAGAACCTTGACAATATCAGGAATCTGTATGCTCCCAAAGCCAGAAGGCAATTTACAACATTCAGAGTGAGAAAACTATGAATCCATTTAAATCAGTGATAGATAAAAATGTTCAAATTCTGAAGATTAAAAAAAAAACAACAAAAAAAACATCAGAGAACATTTTTATTAGAGCATCAAAGCAGAGCTCACATCTGAAGCAACATTCTTTACTTAACTGAAATAAAAAGTATATGAACTATTTTTAATCAAAATAAAATTTAGAATTAAAATAAAAGAAACACAAATAAATATATAAAATTAATAGGAACAAAATCTAATTGTAATGTTTCAACCAACTGTTGCCAAGTCTTTGTTCATAGGGGGTCATGTGATTCAGTGCATCTTCAATCTGGAGAATTTTCATACAACTTTATAATGAAATAATAAAATGACAAAATTTCATTTCCAAATGAGAGTCTGTTGCTGTCATCCTTCAGATATTTTAGTGTCATTTGGAAAATACCACATGCTTTGTACGATTCCAATTTCTCAATAAAATCACACACTTCAGTTCTACCAAACAGTCATCATCAGATACATATCTATCAATAGAGTTAGTTTTGCTTTGTAGAAGACTTGTGATACTGCTGCATCGATACTATGACTACATACTGAAGCAAAATAAAATCACAAATGCATGAAATGTACACACAGGAGCTGCATACAGATGTCTGACCATGCACTAATTTACAACAAGTGCAGCAGAATGTGATCATTACCTGTGCCTAATTTATTCACTGGTGTTTTTAACATATGTATTTGAAACACTGAGGCGACAGCAGCAGCTGGAGGAAAGTCATACAGAGAGCGGAGTGAAGAACTTCTTAGGACACTCAGCTTTGTGGATTTAGTCTCTCAGACTGCTCAGAGCCATCGTCAAGAGCTGGAAGATCAAAAGCATACAGTTTACACATATTTTAGCCTTTTCAAGGGTGTAATTTCTAGTGATTATTGAATACATGGCCTTTGCTTCCCAGCTATGAAAGTGAGAGGGAGATCAGGGCTGTTCAAGTGATCAGATCATGTGTAACAAAAAAGAACAAGTCTGTACTTTGTTTTACAATTAAATAATGCATATTATATCTCTAATAAATGTTCTACATTACTTACAGGATGTAGAACATTTAGCTGAAACAAACTAAAATCAACCATATCTGTTGTAATTTTGTGTCAATTTCCTTTTTACTTTGATTATTTCCTTCTCACCTCATCCTTCTACTGCCCTATAATCATTTTACTTGACATGAACTTGAACTAAACTTTAGATTTCTCACATTTTTTATTTATGTAGGTCAAAAATGTCACAGCTGTGATGATGGTGAAAGCTAGAACAATCACTGCAGCAGCGATGAAGGTTCCCATGTCAGTGGGCTTTTCTGTTGAACAAAATATGACAATACTTATAATAATGAACCAAAATGTGTGCAGTTACTAAAGAATAAGTGGAGAGAAAATCAAGGACCTGATAGTTGATGAGTCTAACATCGCTAAATGTCACACAAAGCCATCAAAACTTCATTACTTAAGCATTAGTTATGCGCCTTGTGCACTCTAAAGTAGTGATACACCATAATGCAAATGGTACTTCATTACTTTAACCCAGTTTGAGATGCCATTTTTACGCCAGACTTATGCTACACTTGTAAAGACTTGTCTTTATTGATCAATAAGAATGGCAGTTAGGAATTAAATTTGACAACTAAACTGTTTAGTTAACAACTTCATAATATCAAACTCAGTTTTCAAACCCTGCAGGATCCAGTCTTACTCCAGTTGGTCCTGATCGATGTTTTGTCCAGTTTGGTGATGATGTCCTCATTCACACCAGAGAGCTGAAACACACAGTCGTACCTCTGCCAATCTTCAGGTGTGACTGATGAAAGTTTCAAATCAACACTCAACTGGAAGGTCCCATCATTGTTGGGGAGGATCTCTCCGGCATCTACACCTTCATGAAGCTCCTCTCCATCTTTCCTCCAGAACATCAAACCTCTGTCAGGATAGAAACCTGTAGCGTGGCAGGTGACTGGAGAGGAGGGAGTCTTCTGGAGGAGAGACACTGAGGGAAGAACTGGAGAGAGATTGGCAGTTGTCACATTCTTTTTTGAATTTTATTTTACTTTTAATGCAAGAAATCCATATTAACTTTCTATTCTATTATGTTTCATCAGATTCTGTAATCCTACCTGCTGTCTGCAGAAAGCTCCTGCCATACTGCAAATACTCCTTTAAAAACTCAGGGCACCGATGACCTAAAAAGTTTTTGTTTAATTCTAATCGAGTTTTTTGAGCATCCCATCTCAGTTTGGTGAGGACAGCCTGTGGTTTTGGAGTGATCCATGTCAGTGTCTGCAGGTCCAATGCTAGAAGGTCTTCTCCATCATAACTTTTTTTTTTTTTTTTTTTTTTTCTAAATGACATCAGAAACAGCAGTATGCGACATTACGTGATGGCAGAGCTTCAGTTCATCCTTTGTCTTTTTTTTTATTTTATTTTATTTTTTTTTTAAATAAATAGGACAGGGGGAATGAATGAGAGAGAGAGGGGGAGAGAAAGAAAGAAAACCAAAGGGGAGAAGAGACGGTGAGAAGGGGGGGAAGAGAGAGAAAAAAAAAAAAACTCCTGGGTCACCTGTATGGAGAAAAAAAAAACAAACAAACAAACAAACAAAAACAAACAGAGGAGACAGCAAACAACAAAGAGCAACATAATAATAGAGAAAACAAAGCACCATCACAATAAACTAGCTAGTCATAGATATCAGTATTTACTAAGTAATAAACGATATTGTGCAGCACGCAAGATAGACAGCGCACAGTGTGCTTTGAGGCAGCAGCCAAGAAAGCTTTAGTCCGCGTCTGTGAAGGTTGAGGTCACCGCCAAGAATGAGTGTGCAATCAAGGTGTTCAGAGAGTGCACTAAAAAAACCGTGGAAGAATGAGGGTTCATCAATATTTGGACCATATATACTAACAATACATAGTTTTTTGTTCAATATTGATAGTTTAATAATTAGAAATCTACCCTCTGGATCTATAACTGTATCGAGTACTGTAAAATTAACATTTTTATGTATTAAAATTGCTACTCCCCGTTGTCTAGAATTATAACCGGCTGCAAACACGTTAGGAAACTCAGGTGTTTTAAGTTCATTTAAACCTGTGACAGGTTTGTGAGTTTCTTGTAATAAAACAACATCTGCCTGTAGTTTTTTAAGCTGGTTAAATATTTTTAACCTCTTTCCTCTGGTGCCAGCTCCATGTGACAAACCTCAGCATGCCCTTAATTGTGCGTGTATGTTTAATGATGTATGCTGGGTGTTTCGTTTAGACAGGTGGAGAGAATATGGAAACATCCCTTGTTTGTAAATAGAAAGAGAAAAAGAAGTGTGGTGAGAGACTCCATAAGTCTGACTATGTGTGTGAATATTCACTAATATGAACAAGCGTGGCTTGCTTATGTGTCCTGCAAGTCTGTGCGTGCTGTGAGGCTGTTGTGAATGTGCTGCCGTTGAGCTGATGTGTTTGCGTGATCGTGTTGTGAAAATATGGAGAAATAGAGGGTGTTGTTTGTAGGTGAGTGGGGGAGTAGGTGACCACAGCAGTGAAAGACAAGAGAAAGAAAGAAACCACATGAACTGTGAGCGACAACAAAAAAAAGGAAACGAAACGGAAACATTCCAATTAAAGCAATGACGGAGGGTGACGGTGTTATATCTGCTATGACATCCTACTGATATTACTAGGTTAAACACATTTTAAAGGAGAAAGTGTGAATGAATAAGAAAAGAGTGTAGCGGGTTCTTATCTGGAGTGCAGTCAGTATAACCACGGTGTGGTGCCGGGGTCGCGGTACAGCTGTCCGTCCACGTAGAGCCGGTCCACAGCGATGACAGCACGGGAGCCTTTCTGGATAAAGCTACGTCGAACTGGGAACAGGACCTTGCGTCGTTCCAGAATCTCTTTGGGGAACTGGTCGTTCACGCTGAAGTCCGTTCCTTTCAGCTCTCTGCCGCGACTCTTCACCTGTTCCTTCTGTTTGAATTGACTGAATTTGGCCACAATAGGCCGTGGTCTCCCGGTCCGCGACCGCGCGCCCCCCAAGCAATGTACTCTATCGAAGTCGATGTTCTTTACGGTGTCCTCCGGCAGCTTCAGGTGGATTTTAATGAAGTTTTTCACCGTTGTCTCTGCGTCCTCTCCGGCAGTTTCTGGAATACCAGAAAACACAAGATTATCTCTCATGCTACGGGCTTGTAGATCGATAACGGACTCTTTTATTTTTTTATTTTCAATGTTTAGCTGGGTCACGTTATCGGTGAGAGATTTAACCGACTCCCGTAGCGTGGCATTTTCAGCGGCAAGCGTTTCCACCTGCCGCTGGCTGAATTCCAGGGATTCTCTCAGAGATTTAAATTCCCGGTGTAAAATCTCCACCAGGGACAGCCTCGCATCGAAACTGGACAATCGCTTGTCGATTGACTCCAGGATTTCTGCGATGTCTTTGCCGGCAGGCGATGTTGTACCGGGGGAGTCTGCCTGGCGACTTCTCTTCGATGACGGCGTCTCGATTTTGGCCAGGGAAGATGCACTCTGGGCCTTATGCATTACTAAATCTTGAAAACAGCGGTCGATGTAATCTTGGAGAGCGTCTAAACTCTCCCCGTTGTCCTCCAGGGTGTTAGAGATGATAAAACAGATGTTGTTAGTTATATGACAATTGATTAGTATATTTGGTAATACTGAAGCTTGGAAAACCTTTGTTAAACTCTATGCTACCATTTGCTTTTTCTCCGCCAAAATCTCCGGCGTCTGACGTCACCTACAACATCACTTCCGTCACTTACCTCACTTCCGTCCGTCACTTCTGGACGCTCTTCTCCATCATAACTGTACAGATTGAACCCATTAATCTCACCAGTCTCATTATTCCACTCACAGCCATTCATCCTCTGGATGATATGAACACCTGAAAAGAGAGAAAGTAACAGTAACTGTGGTAAAGCAGTACAATGTCAGCACAGCATAGTGAAACTGCACCTTTGGGACAAATCAACATTACAAAAGTAACAAGTGAAACAAATCAGTACCTTCAGTTTGGTTGAAACGTTGCCTCAAAGTCTTAATTGTAGCCTTAAAGAAGTGATGACTGTCATGAGATTGTAAACTATACCACTCCAGGTGCTGAGGATGATCCTCAAAGAATTTAATCCAGTCTTTCTTTAGCTCTGCTCCTCTTACACTGTTGAAGTCACCTATCTGAACTTCATCAACAAGTGCACCAGCCACAAACTCTGGGATACTCTGGACTCCAGAGGTTTCAGTGGAGAAAAACTTCAGGGAGTGTTTTACTGTAAAATTGGCAGGACAAAATCAGATGACATTTGTATTATATGATTTCTGTACCATTTAAGAAGGTTAAATAAAAACTAAAACTTGGTTCAGATTCATCATTTTAATTAATTAAATTAGCACCTTTAAATCTCAACCTTGCATGAGAGAATGGCCATTCAACAGGGCACTGATAGGAATCTCTGAAGATGAACAGCACAGTCAATTTTAAATACAGTCAAGCAGATGTAACCAGATGTACCCTTGACCTTCTCCAGAAAAGGAGAGATGTTATAACCTTATCTCCTATTACAGTGATTGGCCCCTTGTCTCTTCCACCCATCCTCAAGGACACAGAACAAAAGACTTCACCTGTTGAATTTCCCCCGACTGAGTGTCACCAACTTTCTCAGAGTTGTAACTGTGTGTGTGCAATGAAGTTAAAGCTGAATGCTCTTTCATATGTGCACCTTTTAAATTACCCAAAAGTGATATTGCTAAAACATGTAATGAACACACAAAAGAAAAGAAACATTTTCACCACATTGTGTAAGTTAAAAGGATAAAATAGAAAATAAAAGATCAAGTAACCTGCTTTTAGAATAAGTTAACATTTTTTAAATAACTTAACTGTGTGTATAATGTTCTGTAACACTCTGTAGTGCTTTCCTTTCAGCTACAGTCCAGTTTGTGAAAAACACAAGGATGTCACAAGAGAGGATACTTTGAACAAAAGATCTGTAAAAGCATAGCCACAGCTGCTGATCTAAAATTCCTCTTCTATATGCTTAAATATCTCCCTGTGTCTTTTTGACAAGTTAGGTGTTGTTAGTAGTCCATGTCAGGCGTAAAATGGCGACAGCTCATAGCAAAACTAAAAGACCAAATCTCTTACAATGCAATTTGCTGTAAGTCAAGAGAAATATTTTTAAATAAAAACTTAAATAAACTTTGAATAAAATATCTTACCTGGAGATGCAGCAGGATAACAGAGGAGTAATATAAGCACACACTTCATCTTTTTTTCCATTTTCACATTCACTAAAACAAGAAAAACAACAGACAAAAACAACTGCAAGTGGTTGCGTGACTTGTTCAAGTTCTGTTTTCTGTTAGGCTGGGCCAAAGTTATCTGAGTAGAAAAAATTAAACATTAAACAGACTGTGTGTCTCCTACAGTCTCCCTGTTTTTACCATGGCATGCACACTGGATTCCACCTGAAAGCATAACAAGGACACAAGACAGGACACAAACTCTGGTTTCAGATACTTTAGAGAGATTTATTTTTTTATAAATACTACTTCTGCTGCTTCAATTGAGTTGCAAAAGTCAGCTTGGTTAATAAGAAAAAGAAAAAAACCCTGCAAAAATGTTAAACATTATTGTTTAGTAAAACTACATCCCCTATATACTGCAGGTTTCAGGCAACTGAGTTACAAGTACTTATGCAAATAGATAATTTAATATGTTTTATTTCTTATAATTATAGCATCAAACTCGAAACCTGCACTGAAATTAGACAGTTTAAATGGAGCTACTTTAGATGAACAACTTAATGATAGAATTATGAGGACACACATTTGTGTTTTGGGGGATTTTTGTGGAAGTTGTTGCTATTAGTCTAAAATGAAGGCAGGCAGGTTACACAAGTCCAAGATCTTTTAATGCCAATGTGAATTTAAAGGATGCAAACTGCATGCATAACATTTTTTGTGTCATTAAATGTGTAATTCAAAGTCAGATTGATATTATGATTGTCACAAATGGTGTAGTTTTACCTAAATTATGATTCTTCCCTAAATGAACTGATTGTGAGTTTTACTCTACCTGAGCAGTCAAAGCGTTTTATACAACATGCTTCATTCACCCCTTCACACTTTCGATTTCTTTTTATGCAACATTCATATACACTATTCATATACACTATGCTCTCCACTCAACAGTACCAATGCCACATCAGCTCCACTAAGGTGCTATTGAAGGCTATTAGGGTTCTGATGATCTTGTACAGTTCCAGGAATTCCAGGATCAATGTGTGAGCCACTGTCATAGGCTTTCTTGTAGTCCACTTAGGCAGTCTACAGGTTGGTCAGTCTAGTCTACAGTCTCGAGTGACTGCTCTACCTAGCAGGAACTGGTGTTCTCCGCTGGTGTTACTGGTTATTCCTGTCTTGGCCCCACTCATGTATTGAGCTATGTGTCTATTCACCAAATACACTTTATTTACAGCATAAAAATACCCTGATCAGGGAAGAGAATGATTCAAAACAAAACCTAAAGACCCAAAGGTCCCAATCGGGCTCCGCCACACTTCTTGGCTGTTAAGGGTCTGCTGAGTCCACCAGTGGGAGCCAGGCCAACAAAGTCCTTCGTGGTCTCCTCGCCACACCGCTCCAGCTTCCACTAAGCACAGAACAGCAGCAGCAGTCACCCTTCTTAATTTACTGAGGTGTCTTTAAGAATTTTAACCACTTGGGAGTTACCACGCGAGGGCAGAGCTCCAAACTCTGCCTGCTGCTGCTCCGTGTCTTAAGTGTTTAGCTGGCGTCTTGCTACCACCGTGGAAGAAGTCTGCCGTCAACTGAACGAGGGCCGTCTCTCTCTTTTCCTGTGGCCGTGCCCTGCCGGTAATTGCCGCTCTACAGCTCTCACTGCTGTGGCTGCGCCTGCCACCACGCAACTCCGTGGCTCTCTCCTCCTTCCCTGCGTCCGGCTGCGATTCCCTTTTCTGACCTGCCAAACTCGCTTATTGGCCTCTGGCTACCAACAAGGGAGGCCTGATTAATTGGCGTTCTCTGTGCAACAACTAGGTAAGAAAAATCCTTCTTCCCCGGATGACATGTGCAACTAAGTGACTCAACTACCTGCTTACGTTCCAATTACTCCTTCCTCCATGGACTCATAGACCCTTGGACTTTTTCGCCCCTTGATTACAAGTAAGCATCCTGGCTAATTCTCACTCTCTGGACACTGGACAATCTCTCAACATCATTCCCTCAAAAGATCATCCAGGACTGCACCTCCTCTGTGACCCTAACAGTTTCCACCTTCCCCATTTTGCTTCCTCCTCACATCATATAACCCTCTGAGTAAGTAAATTAAAAACTCAAAAGTAAAATTCTCTATAGTCCTCATTTGGGTTCTGCTCGTTGAGTACATTGTTACTACTAGTTTTGCTGGTCTGTTAGATATGAAGTTGGAAATGGAAATAATACATGAAAATAATATTGTAATCAAGAAAGAGGTCAATTTTGACAAAAAAGTCTTTTATCCACCTCTCCTTGAATCGCTACCTTATCTTGGTGGAGGGGCTTTGTGTGTCCCAGGGATCCCAGGGGCTATGTTGCCTGGGGGTGTTTGCCCCCTGGTAGGGTCTCCCATGGCAAATTGGTCCTGGGTGAGGGACCAGACAAAGAGCGATTCAGAAGATCCTTACAAGGAAAACATTGAGGGAACAGTTTACCCTGCTAGAGACAGGGTTACCAGGGCCCCGCCCTGGAGCCAGGCCTGGGGAGGGTGCTCGAGGGTGAGCATCTGGTGGTTGGAGCTTAGTCCATAGGGCCCGGCCGGGCACAGCCCGAAAATGGGACATGGGCCAATCCTCCCGCAGGCCCATCACCCGCACAAGGCATTGTAGGGGTTGGGTGCGTTGTGTGATGGGCGGCGGCCAGGAGTGGAGGCCCTGGCGGACTGAGCCCCAGCTACCAAGACTGGCAATTGGGACATGGTGGGGAAGGAGCCTGAGTTAGTGTGTGAGGTTGAGAGGTACAAGCTAGATATAGTCGGGCTCACCTCTAAGCATGGCTTGGGCTCTAGAACCAGTCTCCTGGAGAGGGGCTGGACTCTGTCTCAGTCTGGAGTTGCCCCTGGTGAGAGGCGGCGGGCTGGGGTGGGTATTCTAATATCCCCTCGGCTTGCTGCCTGTATGTTGGAGTTCTTCCTGGTGGATGAGAGGGTTTGTTTCCTGCGCCTTAGGGTCGGGAACGGGTCTGGATGTGTTCCAACTACAGGGGAATCACACTGCTGAGCCTCCCTGGGAAAGTCTATGCCAGGGTGCTGGAAAGGAGATTTGTCCGCTAGTCGAACCTCAGATAAAGGAGGAACAATGCGGTCTTCCTCCTGGTCGCAGAACACTGGACCAGCTCTTTATCCTCTCAAGGATACTTGAGAGCGCATGGGAGTTTGCCCAACCAGTCTACATGTGTTTTGTGGACTTGGAGAAGGCATTCGACTGTGTTCCTCGGGGTGTCCTGTGGGAGGTGCTACCTGAGTATGGGGTGTCTGGCCCATTTCTACGGGCCATTCGATCCCTATAAACCGTTGCAAGAGCCTTTTGAGTATGACGTCCTGCCAGTGAACACAGCCTGAAGTGTGGCAAATACTGTTTCAATTTGACTGAAGTAATTCATTAACAAACTAGTTAATAATTAACTCATTACTCATTACTTAGTTACAGTAGACATGGGGTCAATGTGGGGCGACCATGGTTCAGGGGTTGCAAAGCTCATCTATTAACAGGAAGGTTGCCGGTTCAATCCCCAGCTCTGTCTGTCTTGGTCGTTGTGCCCTTGGGCAAAAAGAAACTTACCTCACTTGATTTTGTGTTTAATTTATTCAGCACAATGTTTCCAATGATTAGGATCTGTGGAGCAGGGAAATTATTTTACTGCTATTGTTAAATAATTGTCATCAGTACCATTGCATTAATAATATAATCTGGAGTTTATATTGCATTCAGGGGTTGAACAGTGTGTGTCTTTCAGAAAGGCTAAAAGTCACAGGCTGACAGGAAACAGGCTTGCAGAGAGTTTGCAGAAGCAGGAAGTTATTTTGAGCAGCAGTATGATCATTGCTTTAACAATGTAACAGATAGCTTTAAGAAGGCCTTAAGATGCTTATGCACACAGTTATTATGTTTAGTAGAGGTTCTTGATTAAAACATTTATTTAGTAAAAGTCATATCCATAGTTTCAGTTCGATTATTACACATACGAGAGTGGTTTCTGTCTCTCTGTCTGGTGAGGGGTCAGGAGCTAGTCGCGAGGTGAAACAGGGTGCAATTGTGGTTAGCACACAGACGCAGACACACACACACTTTTAGTTAGATTCATTTATGGGGGAAAGTTTAATTATGTTTTGCTGATGTTGCAAAGAGCAGTTTGTCGCAGAACTGCTGCTGAGGTGTCAAGATGACAAGCGAGCATCCGGCAGTGACAGGATGCACCTGTTATGAAGATGGAAGACGATGTTCTTTTAAACTGTGTTAAAAGGTCATTGTGGTTTTGATTTGACGTATGTATATATCCTGTCTGTGACGTATGAAGGGGCGTCAGTAATTCAAACCCTGATGCTATAAAAATCTGTGTATGCTCTGATTAAGTCGAGGACTACTGGCTGTCTGCGTACAGAGTGTCTTCCCACGCGTGTATTCATTAAAATCATTGTTTGACCAAAGACCTACTGGACCAAGAGTGGTTTGTACTCTCCTTCCTCAATTTTGAACCTTAACATTTGGGGGCTTCGTCCGGTGGTTGAGGAGGGAGGATTGGAGGTGTAGACGGTGATGTATGGTCCATTGTGGTCAGACAGGTAGGCGTGACCCGGCAACCAAACTGAGGGGACAGGCGCCTTTAAAAAGAGGTAGGCACAGGCCTGTTGATTTTATCCGAAGTGTGCTGAATTGGATGATAAAATTAAATGTCTATTCAGTAAAAGTTGCCGGTAAATGTCTGTTTTGATTTTGATGAAAAATCTCATGAGTTGAAGCAGTTAGAGTTCTGCTAAGAAGAAATGAAAGTAGTTAAGAGTCTGATAAGAAAAGTTTAAATACTGGGTTGAAGTCCCAAAGAAATTGAGTTGGAGTCTCAAGTAGTTTGGTAGGGAATTGGTTATTTTGTTGGTTAGAGTCCAAATTTGGTCATAAGAGTGGACCTGAGCGGTCAAATTGACCACTAGGTTGCATTTGCCTCAGTTATACACTTGTTTTGGGTGTTGATTGTTGTTTCAAAGTATTATAAATTACTCAAGAACGCCAGTTGGACTGGTAGGAAGCGCAGAGCCCGGAGGTTATGCTCCCTCCTTGTCGTGGACGCGCGACATTGACCTGTCGGCGAACAGGGT